GCCGCTATTCTTCTCGCATGCAGGCATCTGCTTGTCCCATCGAGTTCCTCACGTGGTTCGTTCAGTTCAAAGTCTGTCTAGAAAGCATTTTACGAACAAGAGAACATCAACGACAACTTTTCGTTCCGGAACGATAACTTCTTTTTTCTTTTTTTGTCCAAGACTTTTATTTTTATTAGCTCACAGATTGTTTTTTTTTTTGCTTTTTCATTAGATAATAAAATATGGTTTTTCATTGTTTCAAAAACCGCATCAAATACTAAAACGAACTAATGTTTGGGAATAACAAAATTTAACAAACTTCACGATTTAAAAATATTGAGAAAAATTGATCACCCAATATATCACTCTGTCGCAACCAGTACATTGCGAAAATCTTACGATCGTAAAATGTCTTTACCGCTAGTAAATATTCCTAAAATTCATACTTAGCGAAGTCCGCGAAATTACGTGACCGCGAAAGTAAAGGCGTTTACAGTACAACAAAGGTTGAGGTCTCTGATCCTTCATTCTGCATTCTTCTCAATAAAAAGAATGCGGGACGATGGCCTAAAACAATACATATGTGACATGTCAGAGGAGAGCACTGCGGCGGGGCATCAGCTTAGCGTTTCAGGCTGAAATTAGCACGACAATGTTCAACCTTATTCTTAAAAAAAAAAAAAGAGCTTAACAAGAGAGACGTTACAACTTCCTATAACGCCGAATAGACCATTTGCAATAACCCCCAAGTGCCCCGGCCCGCGCTAAAAGAATCATGGGAATGGTGTTCCTTCAGCCCCTTAGTGGTCGGTAATTTCGACCCTGTTTCTGGTTACACAGGGTTTGAGCGTAATTCGGAGTCACCCTGAACAAGCGGCTTATATATTCCAATGATCTGTCATATCGCTTTTAAAATTTCTCCTCAATGTCAGCGTTTTTGATACTCTGCATGCTGTCCACCCTTCAAAATGGATGAGCTACAGAAATCTCTTACATTATTATCATGCCGATATTAAGTTAGAAGCGCTAAAAATGCTATAAACAGCCCCGCGGACTCCGAGCTAAACCCTGGTTTTTGTTGTTGTGAATTATCGGCTTTTTAAGCAATTCCTGCTCAAAAAACAATCACGAGAATGATAATGTTGTAAGAGATTTCTGCAGCTCAGGCCAGGTTGAAAGGTGGATAGCATGCGCAGGGAGGCTATGTTGCGCTTTCTGCACTCCCAGGAGACTTGGAAGAGGGAAGTGACGTCAACAACGCAGCAAATGCAGATTGGATGTTGATTTTGTTTTCTCTGTCAACATCCAATCTGCGTTTGCTGTATCGTTGACGTCACTTCCCTCTTCCAAGTCTGCTGGGAGTGCAAAAAGCGCAACATAGCCCTGCAGTATCAAAAAGGCTGAGGTTGACGAGCAAATTTAAACGTGATATGACAGGTCCTTGGGGTATATCGGGTGCTTGTTCATTGTGACTTCGAATTACGCTCAAACTCTGCGCAACCATGGGGTTGGTTCAAAATTAGCGATCACTAGTGAGCGAGTTTTCTTCTGTCTCCTCTACCGCTGTCAAGTCACCCGGTGCGTTTTCTATGAATACCTCTGTGCAAGCCATTGTCAAAACGCAAGGCGCCGAAGCGACGCCCGCCATCACCCCAGCGCAAGTTGCCGTCGCGGCGCCACCCGTCGCTTCGACGCAAGATGACGATGCAGCGTCTCCCGACGCTCTCGACTCCCAGGAGAGTGACATGGCCGGCTCGAGTCATAGCCCCGGTCGTCTGGTCATCTCGGACGACACGGACCTAACCCCAGGCCAACGCCCCCGTTCTGAGTTGTCGCCGTCAACGCAACGTGAGTCGTCCAAGTTTTCTTCTTCTGACGAAGGCGAGGACGAGGCGGCTGACCGTGGTGATGCGAAACGAACTTTTCCGAGCACTAGCAGCGGCTCGGACGGGCCCATCGCGTCCACCTTCAAAAAGAAAGCGTTCCGAGCCTCGTGACTCGGACGAGGACTACAGCCTTACGCTTTAGCCTATCCTGTGACCATGCTGTTTTCTTCTTATTTCTTTCTTTTTACGGGCCTGCGCGTGATTACCCTGAATGTTCAGGGCTTTCGCTCCCCGAACAAACAACGTGAGGTTGTACATTTCGCTCAGGCGCAACATTGCGATCTGCTTTTTCTTCGGGAAACAAATTTTTTTACCGCACGAGATGTAGCCGAGTTTAAAACTAGGTTTTCTATCCAGGGACTCCAACCGAAAAATATAACGTTTCGGTTACGGTTACGGTTACCGTTTCCTGTTGATACCGGTTTCGTTTCGGTTTTTTACGGTTTTAATATTTACGGTTTTGGTTAGCGGTTACACGCTCCTCAAAACCGTTTTTTTTTTTCGGTTTCTCCAATAGTCTGTTTTATTAAAATGCTAGACACGTGTTTTACAATAAACGGTTTCAAGTAATCCCAGTATTCCAACAACGGGGTATTCACAGTACCAAAAATTCAAAAACGACTTCTGGTACTTCGAATTGGTCAAAAGTTGCACGTGTTTCTAGCTCCAACACTTGTTCGTTAAATCTATTCGCATTATATAATTTGGTACCCAAGCATACATTTCCCGCTCCTTGAGACGTCGTCCTGTCTGTTTTCTGTCCCTTCTACGTTTTGAAGTTTCTTCTCTACCCCAGTGTCAGGTTAATTCAACATGGATACAGTTACTGGTTCGACGAACCTTCAAACAGGTTCGACTTCGTGGACAGTGCGGTTAGATTTTGATACAAGCATGTCTAGGTTTGGAAAAAATGTTTTTACGGAATAAGTTGTTTTCGTTTAGAAGCAGTTACAATCAACAGAACATGATTCTGAAATCTTAAAATGTTAATAACAAAATGTGTTCTTGCTATATTACCCAAACAACCAAACAGTGCTGTCCTTACTAAAACTAGAATGTTTGACTATCATTTCGCCATCACCACGCAATCTAAAGCCAACTGAGCCAGCTCGCCGCACAGTTGAACTCTAGTCGAACTTCCTTGAACTTTCTAATATCTGTCTCTTTGCCGATGATGGTGTAGATAACCGTGAAAGTCAAGGTATTTCTTCTTCGTTTGCAGTTCAATCTGTTATTAACTCTGCCTCTTGTTGGTGTGAGTCATGGCTAATGAAACTAAACACTATAAATGTAAACACATGAGTGTCCCGCACACCTAACGAGTCCTTGTTATTACCTTGATGGCACCTTTTTGAAACAAGTGTCATCTTACAAATATGTAAGACCCCTTAATGCCTTCGGGCCCTGAGAGTATAATAAATGAAATGAAATATGGGTGTTCACTTAATTTCTAACCTGTCATGGAAACGCAACATTCAGCATATCACTTCTCGCGCTAACTGCATGTTGGGCTACATAAAACGTAACTTCTCATTGGCACCCGTTTCACTTATATATATAAAAAAAAAACAGTAATTAGATCCAAGCTGGAATATACAGCCTCTCTCTGGGATCCGGGTCATGATACCCTCGTCATGGCACTGAAGTCTATACAAAATCTCTCGGCTCGTTTCATATCATCGCACTACTAGTGTCATATCGATGGAAATTAGTTTATCTTTACCATCTCTTTCTCAGCGCCGTAAAATTTCACGTTTGTGTTTATATCACAAAACGTATTTCCATGATAACTTTCCCCTCGTACATTTCGGCCCGTGTTGATCATCAGCGTAAAGTTGCAGTCTCAAACTCACTAGTAACTACATTTCCTCCTCGCACAACACAAAAGTGGAACCACCTCCACGGTTTTATTGCCACCATCACTGACCCTAATTTATTTTGAAAAGCTACCAATAACCATTTTGTCCAATGATTCACGACCTGTTTGATTGCTTGTTATAATATTGATATCGATAATTTGTTTGTTTTTCCTCTCATCCTTTTGTACCTGCTCTCCTCCTCTGTAATGCCTTCGGGCCCTCAGGGCATGTTCAATAAATAAATAAATAGAAGCTCGAAGAAGTCGAACCTGGTCGAACTCGAACCTCATCCGGTTCGCGACATCCCCAGATCGCACATAAAGCGTTAAGCCTTGGTGAAAGACGTATAGTACAACACTTCGCACTCTCAATTTTTGCTCAGTACGGCCTCTCCCATACCTTCTGCACCTTTCACTGCCTTCGTCGTATTATCCCCCCTCGCCGTTTTTGAGGCGATTGGATGAGGGCTGGGGGGCGGGGCGGGGGGGGGGGGGGGGGGGGGGGGAGCGGGGGCTGAGATGATTATTCTTCCTGTAGAAAACCGCGGTCATACGTCGGTGTTGGAGTTTAGAGCTAGAAACGGACAAATACTGAAAGGAACAACGATAGAGTCACCGAGTCACATCACATCCCAAAGTATTTGATGTACACATCGCGACACAGTTCGCGCTAACATGACATCGCCACATTTTCGCATTTTACTTTTAGATAGTAGTAGCGAGCACGAAATTTTATCGCTTACATTATAGAACTAAATGAGCTCTTTCCGTAGCAATAATAACTTGGATTACATCCCTTGGTTTCGAAGAGAAAAACTGGAAAAACCGGCGATCGCTTGTTCGCGCTAACAATGTCGCGCTCTGTACGTAAAGGGGGATGCAAATCGATTCGTCAAGCCATTATATTAGCGTTATGATTGAGCTTAATTAAATGACATGCACATCGCGCAACGTAGTGCCGGCACGTCTCCCTCCTGTTCATACCCGAAGTGCGATATAGCGCAACCTATATTAAGAGTAATGGACGAGTCAGCTCCGAAAAATAGAAAACTGCGACTGCTTGTTTGTGCTGTGTCACACCTTGCACTCCTGTTGAGAACCGCGCCTCAGACTCAAATCAATCCAGATTAGAAATGAGAATGCACAAGTATACGTTTATTATTCTTAGCCTTCGCTTGACTATACTAGATAAATTAGGGGTACAGAAAAATAGACATTTGTGAAAGCTTAGGTGCTCATTTTTGTTACATTGTTGCGAACAAGCATAATAGAGTTCAATGTTTCTTCGCTAAGGTTTGCTCGCTGTGGAGAGAGAACGAATTTCAAACTTGAAAATGCCCTCTCTACTGTCACTTGTGTCGCAGGAACAGCTAAGACAACTGACGCCACTTCGTAGAGCTCTGGTTTTAGACCCTTCTGGTTTTCCCAGTACTTGAAAATATCTTCCGATCTCTTTAAACGTGGTTCTCTTAAGAAAGAGTCAAGCAGTGGCCTGATAGAAGTATCTGCTGCTTTCAAGCTTGCTTGATGAGTTCTTGATGCCGCCTCCTTCAGTCGCAGTAAGGCGTCCAAATCATCGTCAGAGTCACCTGCTGTCGATTCTTCGCCAGACGAGGCAGATGCTGGGGCAACCAAAAAAGGCTTCTGCACCTTTTTCAGAGCCACCCACGTCTTCATCAGGTGGTCCCTGGCAGATTTTTTCTCATCTTCCAGAAGAAGGACGTTAAAACGAGGATCCAGGAACACGCAGGCTTGAAAAACGTCGTTCTGGAGCAAACTTTTCAGCCGTTGCTTTAAGGAAGATGTCAGTCGCTGAGCAAGAACACAGTCTATCTTCGCAGTTTCCAGTGAGCACTGCTGCCATATACCGAAGAAATCACCGAGGCTCAGCTGCTCCTTCTGAAGAGCCTTGGTTGCAACCTTTGCAGGCCTTAAACTGGCGATAATTCCTTCGATAGCTGCCCAGGTTTCGTCACTCACCCCAAAGTCAGTGCTGCTTTTCCCCATGTCAATGCAAAAGGGTTTGCGTTCGATTAGCCTCTCCAACATGTCACAGGTAGAGTTCCACCTAGTTGGGCAATCTAAGATCGGCTTCTTGAGATTCAGTTTCTTGACTAGCATCATTGTTGTGGGTACACGCAGCTTCTTACAGATTGCACGACACTTGTCAAGAAGAACTTTCACGTCCGCGCTTTTAAGTGCGTCTTCTACGGCCAGCTGAAGCGTGTGTGCTGCGCACCGGACCCCACGAAGGGCCACTCCTGTTGCGGCGATTCCTGAGCCGGCACCAAGAAGTTCTTCGAAGATGATATCAGACTCCCTTTCGTTCCAGAACTGCTCATCATCGTCGCTTTCAGCTCCGTTTATAGCGTGCACCCCATGGAAGTTTGTTCCCTCGTGTTCCACTATCAAGGACACCGACTTCACTAAGTTAGCAGCGTTGTCAGTTGTCACGGAATAAATCTGATCTGGCATTATTTCGTAACTTTTTAGAACTTCTAGGATGACAGATTTCAGGTGTTCAGCTGTGTGGCGCTCCTTGACCTCCCGCATTGACAAAGTTCGCACGGCCTGAGTCCCTGGAACCAGAAACTGAGCGTTGATCCCAACTATGGATCGGTCAAGTCTTGTGGCGGAATCCACTTTTAACGATACCAGGCGCCCTTTGACCTCGCACTTTATCGCATCCCGTATCTTCGCAGCTTCCTCGATCACCTTGTCACGGATATTCTGAGGGTTGACAGAAATCTAATTTCCGAGTCCTTGGAGAAGGGGATCAATGATTTTCCGGAAACCCGAATCAGACATCAACGCAAGGGGTCTTCCGTTTACTGTGACCATTTCCACGCATGCTTCGATGATAACTCTTTTGTCGATGGTCACTTGAATGTTTCTTGACTTCAGAAAGGACGGTAATAGTCTGTGTTGGGAACAAGGCTTTTCCAACAATGAGGCCCCACGCTTTTCTGTGCACTTATTTAAGGGTTTGGCAGCCTCTCGCGTTTTCGCTAATGTATCGTGAATGTCAGTGTGAAACTTTTTTACGTGCCGCTCAAGGTTAGCCGCATGGTCTCCTTTTATCTTCACGCCACACCCTTCAATCTTGCATTTCGAATGGTTCCGGTCGTAGTCAAAAAGTTTTCTCACTTGGTTAGTTCGATGCCGTCCCATGGCACCTTTAAACGACAAAACGCAAAAGAAGTCATTAGAGCTGATTCTTTGTACCATTAAGTAAAACAGGCGGATTCCTTTAAAACTACGATTATCCTTAGCGCTTCTTTTATAAGTGTCAACACTGATTCTTTGCTTTCACAAGATAAAAGACACTTCACAGCCAAATCTGTAACGCACTTTGTTCTTAATAATTCTAGAAGCCTACGGTTCGAGGTACAATGTAAAATACGTATTATAACTTACAATACGTATTTTACTCTTATCAAGATTTTACTGATAAATACTGTGTTCCCAGCATTTCCAACTGATATGAATTGACGTCGCATATTGTCATTTTTTAATAGGAGACGGTTGGCGTCATTACAGTGAACAACACTATATCAGTAATAGTACAATAACAATAATGCATTAGGGCAATCACTAAAGCGAATTTCGTGTGAATGTCTTCCGACAAGGAGTTCTTTGAAAACGTGTAATAATAAAATACCATAAAAACGTTATTCTCATAACTCGAAATCATCGTGTAAACGCATGTTTTTATAGACGAGTCTCGGGGTGCATCTATTATTGGCTGTACTTAAGCGGTTCCCACGAGCATCTTCTGCGTCGCCGAAGTTTCAAGTGCCCGTCGTATGAACTGTAATCTAGCACGCAGTGGATAGCGAGTTTTTCTTTTTTTTTTTCTTCAAAGCTTATTTAGAAATACCTACTTATATTCAAAAACATTTATGACATGCGTTCATCTCCAGCTCCGAGTACTAGGCGTTACAAGAAAAATTAAAAAAAGATCGAGATGGGTTAACCTTTTTAAAGGACACATGCAAAGGAAAAAAAAACATTTTTTTTTTAAACAACTTAGATGGAAAAAGGATGTCATAAAACGATTTTACAACGAAGAAAAAATTTTTTAGAGCTATATTTCCGGCGCTATACGAATTTGTAGTTCGCGCCCGCGGGAGCCGCCGCTGGTCACGTGGTAGGCCCGCGCGCCACCGCGTTGCGTCGCCGCCGCACGCTGAGCGTTGTGCGAACGCCGCTTCAACGAGTTCCTCCACGCCGCCGTCGCCGCACAAATTCGTCTGCTTCGGTACGCCGTCGCCGTCGTCTGACCGGCGCACAGGTCTATCACGTCTGCTTTCGTTTTTCAGGAGTTTCCTTTGGGCTCTAAAAGTTACCTATTAATCTTAGTTTTTTGTTATTCTTCAAACAAACATGAATAAGTTACTTTTAGACGCCATACGAAGCTTCCGAAAGAGCGCAAGCACCACGTGATAAATAAGGGCCAGATTAAGGGCCACCTTTCCGCGGCGCCGGCGGGCGCCAACTACAAATTCGTATAGCGCCGTAAATATAGCTCTAAATTTTTTTTTCTTCGTTGTAATATTGCTTTATGATATCCTTTTTCTATCTAAACTGTTTAAAAAAAATGTTTTTTTCCTTTGCATGTGTCCTTTAACTGGGAACAACACACGCGGCCCTGACGTCAGGCAGCTGCGGTGGCGCTGTCGATTTCACTGCGCAGACGCTTCACGCGGGTTTCTGCGCACGCACAGTGCATTGTGTGGGCAAACGCGGGCTCGTTTCTAAGCAGCGTGTCGGACTTTTGTTTCCCCTACAAACTATACCGCAAAGTCTAAAGGCGCGAGCGGGTGGCTTTGATAAGTCCCGCTGTAAGAACGCATAACGCCGGGGTGACACCGCTTATACATCATACAAAAATTCTGCCTGGAGACGTGTTCCAAAACGAGTCACCGCGACATGCGCACTTCGTATGCCCCGTGCCAAGCTACCTCTTGAATTGGTTGCGGCATACGAAGCACGTATGTTGCGTTTACTCGTCTTGGAACACGTCTGGAGACAGTTCTTGTATCATGCATAGGCAGTGTGACCTCGGACGAACTGTGCATTCAATGCACGAATAGGAGCCGGGTCTCAAGCCTGTGGCCTTCACAGTTGGTGCATTTTGCCGACTCGTGCCACCAAGCTCATCACAGCCACAAACCGTCAGTGCACAACCACGCGCTGTACTCAGGATATTCTCATAGCTTGGCAGTTCCTGGAACCGTACTATACTTTGTTTTACTCTACCTCGCTGCTCACACTGAACTACCAAGTATAAATTTTATGGTGCTGCTAAAACAAAGTGTATCGTTGGAGAAAAACAATAAAACTACGCAATATAGAGGATGACTTAGAATAAAAGTTTAATATGAATGGCCAGAAAGTAGCGACTCGTATTCAGTCAAAACTTTCCTCGGCGACGTGTTTTACTAGTCCAATTTACGCATTAAAGTTTTAAATATCCACTTTAAGCACACACACACACAAAAAGACGGATCCTATAAAAAAAAACAAAAAAACATGGGGCATTCTTGTTTTGATCTGTAAAATATACCTATTCGAGCAAAGTGACCACCGAACGCGTCAAGTTTCAGACTTTTGCGAGTCATCTATGTAGGCAACTGTTATTTTTAAAACACCCTGTTACCCGCAAAACGTTTTTCTTTTCCTTTTTTTTTTCTTTTTTTTTTTAGGGCTTACCGTTTTTTTAGCTCACACCTGCCGCCTTTTTGGGCTGAGCGAAGGTGAGAGAGAATTCGCATCAAAAAGATCTTGGTGCGTTCAGAGTAGTGACCGAAACAGCACAACCTTTATCATCAGAAAAAGGAATTTACACACGCTAACATCCCCCCCCCCCCCCTCGAATTTCTTGAGCAATTCAATAAATATAAACATATGGCCAACCCTCTTTGCTATCATCAGAAATATAATGCAGTACCGGCTTAGCTCAGTTTTGACTCTTGAATCTATAAATAACCACTAATTTTACCAGCGTTTCCTTGTTTTTTTTTTTTTCTTTTAACAACGTCACCGTAGCGTTTTAAACGCTCGTTTTGCCACTCGATTAACGATGAACTATTCCATTTGCAAACTATGCGCCATCTCACGCCTTTAAAATATATATTTATTAAAGCAAATACTTGCGGCTGCCCCGAGTTCGTTAAGGAAAACGCGATTTCGCATCAGATAGGTATAATAACAATTAAACGGAATGACAGGCACTACAGGATATTTGCCAAATGTAAAAAAAAAAAAATGCTTCGACCCAGCTTTCCTTTCTTTTTTTATGAGTGATCTCAACAAAATAATTAGGCTCCATATCATAACGTTTTTTCTTTTCCTCTATCAAACAATAGTTTCGAAATTAAACTGTCACATACCATTAAAACGTAGACCAACGGACGCTAAGATTTTTCTGCAGCGGACTGACCCAGACTGAACACCGACGGCACGAAGCACGAAGCTCCTGAAGCAGGCTCACACCGACAACTACCAGCCTAAGCTAGCGTCCTGTCGATTGCTTGGCTCTCGAATGGCTCACTAAGGAAAAAGGGGAAAGAAGGAAGGCAAGTCTTTTTGTTTTTGTTGAAATCAAAGCATAGCAAGTGCAACACGTCGCCCGTCTGGCCGGCGCCTCCGTCGACCCCAGCGCCGGCGCGCCAGACCCGCCGGTGTCGGTTGCAACTCGTTGTATTCACTCGCTTTTTTTCAACTTATGCTTTCAAAAAAAAAGAAAAAAGAAAACAAGGTGAGGACGCAAAAAAAATTAAAATAAAGTGGGGACGATAATATATGTATATTCCTTGAGCCGAGGTTTAAAGATATGTTGGTGCATTTTAGAAACACGAAACCAAACGAATAAATGTGTCCATTTGTTGGGAGCAAGTCAGGCTATTTATGTATTTGCTCAAACAAATATTTTATTAATACTAATTAATTACGTTTGAAATATTACATTTAAAGCAAACGTTCAAAATGACAAAGTTGTAGAGCGTCCTCAGAAATGTTGAATTCAGTGTTCTTTTTTTTATCAGGAAACATTGACACATTTTTTTTTATGGACTTCGAAAAAAGTTTGCGAATTATGAAAAAAACGTCTGACTTTGCGCATGTGCACCTTGTATTGCATTTCTCTCAGCCGTGGCTTGAATAAACTAGGCCTGCACGCGGAATAAAGCACTGCTGACTGGGCGCTGTTAACAAAATCGCGTTTTTTTCTTTTTTTTTTTTTCATAATTTGGGCATTTTGTTTGGAGCCCGGGAAAACGAACTGCGTTAGGGGGGGGGGGGGGGGGGGGGTTCTTGATAAAAACCATTGAATTGAATGTTTCTGAGGACTCTCTACAACATTGTCATTGGAACTTTTGATCTAAATTGAATATTTCAGAACGTCAATAATAAATCTTAATTCATTAGTTAATTGGGCAAAATACAAAACATAGGCTTACTCGGTCCAAACAAACAATGAACAACCTTATTCGTTTGAATTCGTCTTCCTAAAATGCACCAAAATATTTTTAAACCTTGGCTCAAGTTACGTGGGATACCGTGTATATACGTATTCAGGGTGTTTTAGAAAACTCAGGCCAAATCGCTCCTGGGAAAACTACTTATCGCAACGGAAAAAGGCTTGTGCCGTTTTGGTCCTGGGCCAGGGGCCCATTTAGAAAAATTATTAAAGTCCGGGATAATTAAGTTGTTAATTATTTTTGCGTAATTAACTTTTTTAATATTGTGTTTAAGGGGGTTGTTTCAATTAGAAAATTGCTCAGCATCATCGAAAACCACTAAATTAACAAATTGCAGAACGATAGAAGGCACGCGAA